TTCCTCCTCGGGGGACTCATCGTCACGTGACGTGTTGCCGATAGTACGCCTGCGAGCGAATACGTTGTAGAAACAGACCTCTGTATATTTGATGCCCTAAGGGCTGGCTTATTTCATAGATTCACGCAGCAGCTTCTGGCTAGCCAAGGCAGTCGCCGCATCGCACGCTTTCAGATGCGCTTTTGCGACCGTCTGGTACGCTCTTCCTTCCAATATTAGGAATCCACTGGAGCTATACACTTTGAAGTCATTTAGATTGAAAACTGATTTATTTTAACATCCACACATACAACTGCAATATTCACGCAGCATTGGCCCTGCCTCCATTGTGCTTGTGTCACCCCTTTTGTTCATCAGATTAATACATCAGATGGAGGCTGTGCATGCATTCTCGTTTCAAAATAACCATCACTCGTAGCCCGAGAGCGTGTGGGTGCACTAAGATATAAATCATAAAAGAGATATATATGCATTATATATCATTTGTGTATATATAAGAAAGCTGTTTCATTACAGATATGGCTCCACTTGAGCTCACTGCCCTTGTCACAGCTGTAACCTAGACTGCAGGACTATTGTTTTATTTTATCAGGTAAGGTCCACTGAGCTGTACAGTTCTTTTTCAGAACCGACCTGGCCACAAATGATATCTCAACAAAGTGGCTTATCATCACGTGGACATTTATCGCAGCCAAATACTCTGAACGCATGACGTTGATTCTAAATGTGGAGGGAAAAACCGGAGGACCCGGAGAAAAATCCACGGGACCACGGAGAGAGACACCGCACACTCTAAATATACAGCGGGCGTCAGGCTCGGGATCGAACCTGCGACCTCCTGTTACTGATCCTGCTTTTATGTTGTCTGCTGGCCGAGTCGCCCCTTGAAAAATAGCTTCTTAGCTAAGTGGGGCTTTGCTTGGGAAATACGGTGGCAAGATGTAACTAACATCTCACACGTGGCACCCCAAAGCCAAAGTGATCTGCTGCTCAAATGAACGTTGAGGCATTGGTGCTCGTCTCCAGTTTACAGCCCTGAGCCAACGGCAGAAATTCCACATTCCCATGGCAGAGGCAGGTCTATCTGTAGGACACCTGCTGTTGACTCTCCCACGACATGGTATCGAGTTTATTGACTCCAAAAGGGATGATAGGCTAAGAGTCAATCCCACCATCCAGAGCCGCTCGCTGCAGCGCCGAACCAGCTGGCTGGATCCTACCATGCAGTATAATACAGTAGAGAGGGGTACCGCAGTGCGCGGTACTGACTTTACTGGATCCAACGCACCTACGTGTGATCTGAGTGGGATCACACGGGGGTGGGGGTGAGGGTGAGGGGACTCGCCCTCGTGATATTCGCTGGAGCCCGACGCGGTGGGTACATTGGTGTGGAATGCCACACTTAGGCAGCCCTCTCTCTCTGTCCCCCACAGCCATGGCAAATGCCAGGCCGTGCGCCCGGTCACATGCCGCCAAGTCCCCTTTGTTGTGACCTTTCCAGAGACGATGAACTTACGAATTCCCCCGGTCAATTTTTGTCAGGGCGCCTGATTCGCAATCGAATTTAAAAGCCGTAAGTTCAGATCCCGGCCAGTGGTCGTCTTAGACTGTAACTCCTCGGTGGTTGATGATATGCGCACCACTTTGTAGGGAATCGATATTGGTTGCCCTTTGGAGAGACTGGCCTCACCATGCAAATGTGGAATTCCCACAATTGGCTCAGGGCTGAATTCCACAATGCCATGGCAAGGGCCAGTATCATCGCATTTTTCGAAGCCATCAATAATTTGGGGCATTCTGGCCCAGTGATGAATCTACGCAGTTCATCAAAGTGACGTTAATGGTACTGTGAGAAATTGCAAATGGATAAAATCTAGTGTTTTAATAAAAGTGGGAAGTATATGCTGGTTTATCCAGGAGGCTTGTCCCCACCACGAGAATGTGGAATTTCCACCAGTGGCTCACGGCTACCGAGGAGAGGATGATCCCATGGGCGTGTGAGCAAGGAAGCACGGTGACTTGATTTCATAATCGTGAGTTAATATGAACACAAACATGGCGGCCCCGTGTTGGCAGTGCGGAGCCACACGCACGCCGGTACTCCTCGTGCCTCACGTCGGGATGCCTCCCACTGGCGGTCCCCGAGGCTACACCGCGGGGCAGGGCGAGGGAACGGTCGAGATGATTTGTGATGCTGCATGGCGCTCTGAGGTGGTGCAAGCCGCTCAGCAATATCCATTGTTGTACCACACTCTCCGCGAATGCCGACGCTTCTCACTTTCACCAACACGCCCTGACCAGCGTGGGGAAACCCTCATCCGGCGGTGGATTGATAAAGTCAGCGGTATGCGTACACGGCGGCGACGCCGACGGTGGTAGTCGGCTGAGTTGACTCCCCAACCGTGAGTTGAAGGACCTTCCACCTTTCCACACCTGTAAGTGGAGTCCTCTGCGTGCCCCGAGCCTGGCCCAGTGCAACGTGGAGAGAGTTTGTACCGGAACAGAGAAGAGGGCTGATGGGGGTGCAGGAGATTGTGGGGAAGGGGTGGCTGTGGGCAGGTGATGAGGGTCTGGCTTTACAGCTGGGGTAGTTTATATTGTGCTGGGTCATCGCTGGAATTCACATTGAGGCTGAGGAGAGGCGTAGGAATTTAAGCGCATTCTTTTTAAAATAATTTGAGAGGCAATAAGCGTGCGCTGCTTAATAAGAAAAACCAGCTTGCCTAAAAACGCACTCACCCATGCTGATTCTGGAGGGGAATCTCATCGTGTTGGGCTGACGCACACGCTGCACTACAGAGTGCAGCTCACATCTATGGGATATTTTTTTCCAGTATAAAAAAATGTGAAACATAAGAATAGGTTTTACCTTTTCTGGCAATAAAACAGGAGGTAATATTATATAATAATAGGGGTTTTCCCCTTTTTTGGCAACAAAACTGAAACCTCTTTACAAGGATTCATGTCTGCATTAACCACAATACTTGCAGTCAAAATGCAAACAAATAACACACTATGATAATATATGCATTGTCCTTGAAACTGATTGGTCCACACCAAGGGACGGCTTTCTTTTTAGCCTCGACCCAATTGGTGCTCGACCAGAGGATGCCAAAAGGTGTACAGCTCAAAGACAATGCACTGTCAAAGTAACGAGGGCTCGGGGTGAGCATCTACATCATTACACCTCCTTTTGCCAGTCCCTTGGTGTGGACCAATCCGTTTCAAGGACAATGCATATATTATCATAGTGTGTTTTTTGTTTGCATTTTGACTGCAAGTATTGTGGTTAATGCAGACATGAATCCTTGTAAAAAGGTTTCAGTTTTGTTGCCAAAAAAAGGGGAAAAACCCTATTATTATATTGTGGTACTGCAAAGGAGGTCTAATGATGTAGATGCTCACCCCGAGCCCTCATTACTTTGATAGTGCATTGTCTTTGAGATGTACGCCTTTTGGCGTCCATCTCGTATTATCACGCGCATTGTGGCTCTTGAAAAATTGAGGGGTTTTTTGACCGAATTAGAAAATAAACGGCTCCGCTTGTTATTTTGGTTTCCAACTCCTGTGGAATTTTCACCGCTGTCTAAAGACCACGCATCGGAGGATAATTTAAGGCTGTAACAAAATAAATAAGGACACAATAGACCTCCAAATATTATTTCCCTCTGCGTCAAGAAAAAAAAACTTATATTTTATATTTTATTTGGGCAGAGGCATTAGTGCCCGTGTATTCATTGTTGCTATAGTCTCCACAACGGGCGCTAATAATGGCTTTGTGTTGTGTATTCAAGGACTGTGGGTGATTTCGCTTTGAGAAGGTGTTTGTTATCTTTCAGCTCTGCAGCTAAAAAAGACAAAGACTCCCCCGTATAGCCTTACCAGACTGTTGGGGCAAGTGCTCCTAGCGAGTACCTATGAAGGCCGACATGGCACACGAAGGGGTGGGTAGCCAGCACCATTCCCAGCCGCCTTTGTCTCCCCAGTGGTGATGTTTACACACCGCACCAGGTACTCATTTGAGGCTGAGTCGACCTCGGGGAGGCCCAGGGCCGGTTGAGATAATCGTCACTGATGTTGTCCATGAGCGGGAATCGAACTCGGGATGCCGGCAGTGCCGGATTAAGCTAGTGCGGGGCCTGTAGCATGTGTTGTTATAAAGGGGCCCTAAATAAAAAAAATCATAAATATTAAAACACACAAATGCATAGTAAAGTAATTTAATTTTTTCATTTCTATACAGCCAGATAATACGACAAATTGCTAACCTTAAACACCCAATCGTTCATAAAAGTTGAAGGCAGTATAGTACTATAGTAATAGAGCAAGTGCAGAACCACTGAACCGGAATTGATAGCTTGAAAGCATTTAGCGCGGGGCCCTTGAAAGTGCGAGGCCCGTAGCTTCATGTGTAACTACTTTTGCTACGAGGATAATCCGGCAGTGGTTGCCGGGTCCGTAGTGCAACACAAACACACACGACGATGTAATCGATATTGGGCGAACGTCTCAATGCCGAAAATAACCACTCATTCGGATTCACACGTAAAAATAATAACAACAACAACAAGCAACATCACCTGCTGTCTGTGAGGCTTTGCTTGGAGTAAACGAGCATTATGATAATAACAAAACAATTTTTTTTATTTTACCAGGTCAAGCCCACTGAGCTATGCAGCTTTTGTTCTGAAGCGTCCTGGCCACAAATGAAGTGGCTTATCATCACGTGCACATTTATCCTAAATGTGGAGGAAAAAAGCGGAGGACTCAGAGAAAAATCCAAACGACCACGGGCAGAAAACGCAAACTCCAAATATGCAGGAGTCAGGGTCTGGATCGACCTCTTGTATACCGAGCGAGGTCGTTAACATCTCGCTACTGTGGCGCTCAACAACATAAGGGCGCTGCACTGCCCCGTTACGGAAACATCATCTTCAACAACAACCAAAATATCACTCGCCTCATCGCAAATGCAATTTTGCCTTATCTCATTGCGCCAGATTCCCATGAAGCTCAGCGGATTTGAGCCTGGCTGCCGCTGGGAAGGGTGACCAGCGTGCACGCCCGGCGGTTATCGGCGCCTGCGGAGCTGGGCCCGCGTGGTGGCCAGCTGCGGACGGTGCGGCAAAAATCAACGGTTGTACTGTACTGCGCTTCTACGCTCCCACGTCTATGCTTCACGCGTTCACCAACCCACACTGCGCAGCGCGGTGAGGTATGGCCAAATAACCTCCATGACGGACACGGTGTGGGGAGGCCCCTCCCAACGGACTGTAAATCATTATTATCATCATCCCACACGATTAGACTTTCATTTGTTCAAGTTGTTGAGTTGTGTATCTCATACATACTGTGGTGTAGTGCCTGGAACACGGACCGGTGTGAGATATTGAAGAGACATTTCTGTTGGACAACGACCTCACAGGCGCTGCGGTGTCTGTGTGCTGCTGCGTTTGGTCGCGTCCGGCTCATTACGAGACACCCGGGGCCCTTCGACTTTCAATAGCAGCGCCTATTTCATTCCTATACAGCACCTATTTCATTCCTATACCAGCGCCTATTTCATTCCTATACAGCACCTATTTCATTCCTATACAGCGCCTATTTCATTCCTATACAGTGCCTATTTCATTCCTATACAGCACCTATTTCATTCCTATACCAGCGCCTATTTCATTCCTATACAGCACCTATTTCATTCCTATACAGCGCCTATTTCATTCCTATACAGCACCTATTTCATTCCTATACCAGCGCCTATTTCATTCATATACAGCACCTATTTCATTCCTATACAGCGCCTATTTCATTCCTATACAGTGCCTATTTCATTCCTATACAGCACCTATTTCATTCCTATACCAGCGCCTATTTCATTCCTATACAGCACCTATTTCATTCCTATACAGTGCCTATTTCATTCCTATACAGCACCTATTTCATTCCTATACAGCACCTATTTCATTCCTATACCAGCGCCTATTTCATTCCTATACCAACACCTATTTCATTCCTATACCAGTGCCTATTTCATTCCTACACAGCACCTATTTCATTCCTATACCAGCGCCTATTTCATTCCTATACAGCACCTATTTCATTCCTATACAGCACCTATTTCATTCCTATACCAGCGCCTATTTCATTCCTATACAGCACCTATTTCATTCCTATACCAGCGCCTATTTCATTCCTATACAGCACCTATTTCATTCCTATACCAGTGCCTATTTCATTCATATACAGCACATATTTCATTCCTATACCGGCGTCTATTTCATTCCTATACAGCACCTATTTCATTCATATACCAGCGCCTATTTCATTCCTATATCAGCGCCTATTTCATTTCTATACCAGTGCTTATTTCATTCCTACACAGCACCTATTTCATTCCTATACCAGCGCCTATTTCATTCCTATACAGCACCTATTTCATTCATATAACAGTGCCTATTTCATTTTTATACAGAACCTATTTCATTCCTATACCAGCGCCTATTTCATTCCTATACAGCACCTATTTCATTCCTATACAGTGCCTATTTCATTCCTATATGGCACCTATTTCATTCCTATACCAGCGCCTATTTCATTCTTATACAGCACCTATTTCATTCCTATAAAGTGCCTATTTCATTCCTATACAGCACCTATTTCATCCCTATACAGTGCCTATTTCATTCCTATACAGCACCTATTTCATTCCTATACCAGCGCCTATTTCATTCCTATACAGCACCTATTTCATTCCTATACAGTGCCTATTTCATTCCTATACAGCACCTATTTCATTCCTATACCAGCGCCTATTTCATTCCTATACCAACACCTATTTCATTCCTATACCAGTGCCTATTTCATTCCTACACAGCACCTATTTCATTCCTATACCAGCGCCTATTTCATTCCTATACAGCACCTATTTCATTCATATACAGCACCTATTTCATTCCTATACCAGCGCCTATTTCATTACTATACAGCACCTATTTCATTCCTATACCAGCGCCTATTTCATTCCTATACAGCACCTATTTCATTTCTATACAGCACCTATTTCATTCCTATACCAGTGCCTATTTCATTCATATACAGCACATATTTCATTCCTATACCGGCGTCTATTTCATTCCTATACAGCACCTATTTCATTCCTATACCAGCGCCTATTTCATTCCTATATCAGCGCCTATTTCATTTCTATACCAGTGCTTATTTCATTCCTACACAGAACCTATTTCATTCCTATACCAGCGCCTATTTCATTCCTATACAGCACCTATTTCATTCATATAACAGTGCCTATTTCATTTTTATACAGAACCTATTTCATTCCTATACCAGCGCCTATTTCATTTCTATACAGCACCTATTTCATTCCTATACAGCACCTATTTCATTCCTATACCAGTGCCTATTTCATTCCTATACAGCACATATTTCATTCCTATACCAGCGCCTATTTCATTCCTATACAGCACCTATTTCATTCCTATACCAGCACCTATTTCATTCCTATACCAGCGCGTATTTCATTCCTATACCGGTGCCTATTTCATTCCTACACAGCACCTATTTCATTCCTATACCAGCACCTATTTCATTCCTATACCAGCGCCTATTTCATTCCTATACAGCACCTATTTCATTCATATAACAGTGCCTATTTCATTCCTATACAGAACCTATTTCATTTCTATACCAGCGCCTATTTCATTCCTATACAGCACCTATTTCATTCCTATACAGGACCTATTTCATTCCTATACCAGTGCCTATTTCATTCCTATGCAGCACATATTTCATTCCTATACCAGCGCCTATTTCATTCCTATACAGCACCTATTTCATTCCTATACCAGCGCCTATTTCATTCCTATACCAGCGCCTATTTCATTCCTATACCAGTGCCTATTTCATTCCTACACAGCACCTATTTCATTCCTATACCACTGCCTATTTCATTCCTATACAGCACTTTATTTCATTCCTATACAGCACCTATTTCATTCCTATACCAGCGCCTATTTCATTCCTATACAGCACCTATTTCATTCCTATACCAGCGCCTATTTCATTCCTATACAGCACCTATTTCATTCCTATACAGTGCCTATTTCATTCCTATACAGCACCTATTTCATTCCTATACCAGCGCCTATTTCATTCCTATACCAACACCTATTTCATTCCTATACCAGTGCCTATTTCATTCCTACACAGCACCTATTTCATTCCTATACCAGCGCCTATTTCATTCCTATACAGCACCTATTTCATTCATATACAGCACCTATTTCATTCCTATACCAGCGCCTATTTCATTACTATACTGCACCTATTTCATTCCTATACCAGCGCCTATTTCATTCCTATACAGCACCTATTTCATTTCTATACAGCACCTATTTCATTCCTATACCAGTGCCTATTTCATTCATATACAGCACATATTTCATTCCTATACCGGCGTCTATTTCATTCCTATACAGCACCTAATTCATTCCTATACCAGCGCCTATTTCATTCCTATATCAGCGCCTATTTCATTTCTATACCAGTGCTTATTTCATTCCTACACAGAACCTATTTCATTCCTATACCAGCGCCTATTTCATTCCTATACAGCACCTATTTCATTCATATAACAGTGCCTATTTCATTTTTATACAGAACCTATTTCATTCCTATACCAGCGCCTATTTCATTTCTATACAGCACCTATTTCATTCCTATACAGCACCTATTTCATTCCTATACCAGTGCCTATTTCATTCCTATACAGCACATATTTCATTCCTATACCAGCGCCTATTTCATTCCTATACAGCACCTATTTCATTCCTATACCAGCACCTATTTCATTCCTATACCAGCGCGTATTTCATTCCTATACCGGTGCCTATTTCATTCCTACACAGCACCTATTTCATTCCTATACCAGCACCTATTTCATTCCTATACCAGCGCCTATTTCATTCCTATACAGCACCTATTTCATTCATATAACAGTGCCTATTTCATTCCTATACAGAACCTATTTCATTTCTATACCAGCGCCTATTTCATTCCTATACAGCACCTATTTCATTCCTATACAGCACCTATTTCATTCCTATACCAGTGCCTATTTCATTCCTATGCAGCACATATTTCATTCCTATACCAGCGCCTATTTCATTCCTATACAGCACCTATTTCATTCCTATACCAGCGCCTATTTCATTCCTATACCAGCGCCTATTTCATTCCTATACCAGTGCCTATTTCATTCCTACACAGCACATATTTCATTCCTATACCACTGCCTATTTCATTCCTATACAGCACTTTATTTCATTCCTATACAGCACCTATTTCATTCCTATACCAGCGCCTATTTCATTCCTATACAGCACCTATTTCATTCCTATACCAGCGCCTATTTCATTCCTATACAGCACCTATTTCATTCCTATACCAGCGCCTATTTCATTCCTATACAGCACCTATTTCATTCATATAACAGTGCCTATTTCATTCCTATACAGAACCTATTTCATTCCTATACAGCACCTATTTCATTCCTATACAGCACCTATTTTTTTCCTATACCAGTGCCTATTTCATTCCTTTACAGCACATATTTCATTCTTATACAAGCGCCTATTTCATTCCTATACAGCACCTATTTCATTCCTATTCCAGCACCTATTTCATTCCTATACAGCGCCTATTTCATTCCTATACCAGTGCTTATTTCATTTCTACACAGCACCTATTTCATTCCTATACCAGCGCCTATTTCATTCCTATACAGCACCTATTTCATTCATATAACAGTGCCTATTTCATTCCTATACAAAACAAATTTCATTCCTATACCAGCGCCTATTTCATTCCTAAACAGCACCTATTTCATTCCTATACAGCATCTATTTCATTCCTATACCAGTGCCTATGTCATTCCTATACAGCACATATTTCATTCCTATACCAACGCCTATTTCATTCCTATACAGCACCTATTTCATTCCTATACCAGCGCCTATTTCATTCCTATACCAGCGCCTATTTCATTCCTATACCAGTGCCTATTTCATTCCTATACAGCACCTATTTCATTCCTATACCACCGCCTATTTCATTCCTATACAGCACCTATTTTATTCCTATACAGCACCTATTTCATTCCTATACCAGCACCTATTTCATTCCTATACAGCACCTATT